GAAAACTCGAAAGGAACAAGTGTAAATTATAAAGTATGTCATTTTTAGTGTTGTCGTAATATTGTTTTATATTTTTTTATTATTAAATCCATAACCAAAAATTCGACGTTCAACATCGATAAATTGTGCCCTCACTGAGTTACTTTCCTGACTTAGCCCCTGATTTGAGAACACGAAGTTCTTCGTTGATCTACAAGAGATAGATGAATTTATAAAGCCAGGAGTTGATGTAGGAGCACGTAATTTAGGAGGGTTTTGAAAACTGCAGCTGGGAGTTGGTGCAGAAGCACAAAATATAGGAGAGCTGTGGAAATTGCAGTAAGAAGGTCAGAAAGTACTAGTGGTAGTCGTGTCTGGCGGATTGTAAGTTCAAAATTCGTTTATAGTGAATTTCTAACTAATAAAGTGCCCGAAGTTTTTACCTAGTTGGGGTTTCTTCGTGATCAATCTGCTTGTTATTTATGATGTTGTCACCGCGGCATGCCGCCTGGCACGTATTAAGTCACTGCAGCACGACGTCAAGGTAATGGATCGCGATGTCATGGCACCATGTCACGTTATCAAGGCATTGTGTCCGGTGTCATGGTATCTTGTCATCTCCGTTCATGCATTGCACAGTTTCATTTGTAGTGTAGTTTTGCATTGGTTTGCTTGCATATGGTTTGTTTGTGTAATTTTGTTGAGTTAGCATCATTTAGGTTATCATTTCATGTGCATTATAGCATTTCATTCAGTCATGTCATCTATTACATTAGTCAATGTGCGTCTCTGGTCTGCTTCTCAGATGCCACCTAAGCGAGCTGGGATGGCTGTACAGACATTGACTTCGTCCACTTCCTTCAGTTGATCTTGGGTCATCTTTGCTATTGCCCAGGAGGTATTTGGGAACCAGATCTCATTACACCCAGTGCTAGTGGAGCGTGAGGTAGTTTTATCTGACCTTTCTCCCGACCTCGCTGCCATTTTTACCTCTAGGGGTTGGGATCCATTACTTATAGATTTGACGCCTTCTCCTAGTCTTTTTGTTCATGAGTTTTATGATAACATTCATGACGTTAGCGGTTCTTCTTTTAGGGTATTTCTTTGGGGTAAGGCGATTAAGAACACTCTTGATATAGTGTCTAGCATAGCCCATATTCCTAGAGTCGTTCACCCTTTATTTCCATACTTGTCGGTTGATACCCTTCCTACGGACTCTCTTGTCTGTTCAACGGTGTTTAACACACTGGCTCTCTCCCTATTGATAGCCAGATTCTGTTGCACATTGTGTGCACGAATCTATGGCCCGTCACCCATACTTCTTCATTAAATATGGAGAAGGCCTGCTTATTGTATGCATTATTACACGACGATTATGTTGATTTACCCTCATTCATATGCCAACGAATTCTGCGTGCTTTTCGTATCACGGGGACTAGGGTAGGGCTTCCTTATGCCTGTCTTTTTTATCACATTGTGACCTTACTTGACGTTAGTTTTCCTGATGGGGTTCCTAAGAGGGTTTCTCGGCCGATTGGCCACACTACCATTTCTTAGAGTCAGTCTCATACTTCTTCTAAGCCAGCTAAGCTAGTTGATCCAACTGTGCCAACTAATCCTATTGATGACCTTATTTCTGTTGATCCCTCCGATTTTTTTCCTTTTTCTACTCCTCCTCCTGCTGACATCCCTTCGCCATCCACTTTCGCTTCTCCACTTACAAAGTCTGTTCCACCATCTGCGTCTCTTCCCATTGACCCGTCTGTTGCACTTATGGGACAGATGACTGTGCTAATCGAGCAGCAGGCTCGTATGATGGCAGAGATTACGCAGCTGAGAGTTAACAGTTTATTGACACACTACAGAGTTTGCTATCAGATATCTTCAGCGAGGGCTGCGTTGGATTCGTCAACATTAGGATGACAGTGCAGCTTCTGATGAGGGGACTGATGCTGATAATGCAGCATAGTTGCTAGGTTGTCCATTATCATTTATGACAAAAAAATTGGATTAGTATAGTAGAGAGTATATAGTAAAGAGTAATATATATTATATTGTTGATTAGATATTTTACTAACATTAACATTGAATGTTAAAGTTTCAGCTAGATTAAGTTTTGATGTTTAGTGATGTCAATGTTTCTCTTGATATATTGGTTTATATTGATATTGCATCTTAAATTAGTTGGTATGATTTAATGCATCTAATTTTTAGCTGGTATGACTAATGATTAACTGTTATTGTTTCACGTACTTTTACACTGGGTATTGAGTTGTTTGTTTCAAGAAACATGTTTACAAAGAGAAAGTACAGTACAGTCAAGACAGTTGATTTGACAGTAGTATGTGTTTTGAGTCTATTTTGTTTTGATACATTGACTTTAGATTTGTAGTTATGTTACAGAATGCCATAGGGGGAGCTTGATAGATTTTTTTATGTAATTGGCAAGTTTGTGAACAAAAGGGACTAGATTTATTGTGTTGTAAAAGTCAAGGAGTAAGTTGATATTGTTATAAATTGAGATGTATTAGATCTAGGGTTCGAGATTGGAAAAGAAGGAAAAACGCCACTACAATTTCGCTAGACTTCCGTCATGACTTGGCTCGAACAGCATAAACGAAAACATTGTCGTCAACCTGTCGTCAGGACTTCGCTCGAGCGACACACCATCGCTCGCTTGTCGCCCAACTTTTTATCCGTCTCATTCATTCATTAACCTACAGTATAAATACCAGCACGCCTCTGAACGATTTTCTTAAAGTTTGAACATTGAAAGAACATATACCGCTTCCTATCTATTTCATCAAATTCATACAAAGCTTTCAACCTTCGTTGTTCGATTTGTTCTTGGCGGTGAAAACATCAAACTCACATAATCCAAATATCAAATTGCTACTTCCTACACATTTGTCAGAGTGCTGAATATCAAGAAAATGTGACTGGAGTTCCAGTTGTTGGAGAACGCAGAGTTTTTCGTTGATACACATGAGATAGACGAATTCATAAAGTCGAGAGTTGGTGCAGGAGCACACAATCCATGAGGGATTTGAAAACTGCAATTGAGAGTTGGTGAAGAAGCACCCAATCAAGGAGAGATGTGGGAATTGCAGTCAAGATGTCAAAAAGTACTAGTGGTGGTCGTGTCTGTCGGATTGTAAGTCAATATTCGTTTATAGTGGATTTCTGACCGGCAAAGTACCCGAATTTTTTACCCAGTTGGGCTTTCTTCGTGATCAATCTGCTTGTTATTTATTGTTTTCCATATAACTACGGCAATTCAACATAGGATAATTGGACTGATTGATTATCCATCTAAAGATAATTAATAGTGACTTAGGTCTTCGATTTTAATTCCGCATAATCACCTATTCACCCTCTCTCTAGGTGTAATTTGGGTCAAACCTCGTAATTTCAATTCCAATTACAACATTAAATCCATTTGACAAAAAAATTGAGTTGAGTACTTAGGTCTTCAATTTTTGTTAGATCGCCTCAACCTTTAAAATTGAATGAATGTTTAGTAGAGCAAGTGTGTTAGAGGGACACAAGCTTCGGTGACTCTAAACATATCCACGTAAAAGAACAATTGTTGGCGAAATTTAAAGACGTGTCTTTATTTCAGTTCGTGGTGAAGGGGATTCAATTACAATTGAAGATGACATGTGATCAAAGTTGATGGCTTCATTCCAATCACATATTGATCAAGATAAAGAATTGTGGAGACTTCTGATCTTTTAATTACAGTTGTTTGGTTCAAATATTGACATGGTGTCATTTATTTTGTGAACTAAAATGTACAATTTTAACTTTTATGTCCTTAGAAGATTTGCATGTTTAGGAGTATGTAGTTTCTTTCGAGTTTTCCCCCCAATATATATATATATATATATGTTAAACATTATCGCCAAACAATACTTTAATCATATCACATGGATCCATCTTTATGTAAAAGTTTAAATTATTAAGAAGGTTCACTACAACAGAGTTTATTTTTTATGGTATGCATTGTATGTTGTAAAAAACTCTTTACTGCGTATAGTAGAATGCCGTATAAAACAACGCCCGTATAGACGTTGAATAACATTTATTTATGGTTAAAAAAAAAAAAAGTAAGAATTGAATTAAGATAGACCTCATCATATGTTATTATTGAAAGTGCAATTCAGTGCTATTATAAAAGGGACCCTATCTACCATTACACTCAAATCATATTTCAAATACCACCCCCATCGCCACCCCCTAGGATAACACTCAATTTTTGCTTACTAAATAATTTATTTATACCTTATACACAAACTCTCAAACAACTTCTCTTGTACATTATATCGGAGAAGATGTACAAGGTATCATTCAACCGAAGGAATGATTCTGGAAAGCTGAACGTATTCGAGGCTGAGCGGTATTTCTCCGGGGGCACCAATGAACGTCATAGTACAACTTTTGCACATAAGATTATCGGAGAAGACAGGCAGTCTGTACTGAAGACTGCACGAAGAATGAGCCTAGACGTGCCTCCAACCACGATGATGATACATTCATTTCCTTTGCAAATGGAAAAGCAAATGAAAGAGAAAAAACATAAACAGCCAAGTTCTCCCGGTGGCAAACTTGCTCATTTTTTGAATTCTCTCTTCAATCAAACATCTTCAAAGAAAAAGAAATCTAAATCTTCAACACAATCTGTGAAGGAAAGTGAAGAAGAAAGCCCTGGTTACAGAAAGAAAAGAAGAAGCAGCATTAGTTTTTTTCACACAATTACTAATACTGCTGATTCTAAGTCTATTGATTCATCTTCAAGTTCTGGTTTTCGTACACCTCCCCCAGCTCCTTATGCGTGTCATCCCACAAAAAGAAACACAGGTTATGCATTTTCTCATGACAAAATCAGATTCAACAATGGAACATTGGAGAAGAACAAGAATTCAAATCTGGGATATTCAAATAGGAGTAGAAAAAACTGGCCTAATCATCAGTTTTCGTTGGGAGAGGAAGAATTTAGAAAGATCAATGATTTTGATGATGGTGGAGATAGTGATTCAAGCTCTGACCTGTTTGATTTACCAAATCATGATTTAGATTACTACTCAAGTGGGCTACCTGTTTATGAATCAACCAATATGAACAGCATCAAGAGAGGTGCAGCAATTTCTAGCAGTGCAGTATAATTAATCCCATCAGTATGTGTAAAATTTCCTTTATCCTACTCATGCGTGGAAGTGAGAAAATTTGTTGAGTTTTGTCAAGATTAGTTGATAGATTCTGCTTTTTCTTCTTTGAAGATTCCTTTTAACTTTTTTTCCTGTATGAACAGTTTAGATTGTTTGTTTGCTTCAACTTTTCCTTTTTTTACTTTTGAAGATTCGGGGTTTTAAATCAAGAGCTTTGATTTCATACTAAATAAATTGCGCTTCGATTAGAAGCTTTGGTTTTTTATCACAATACATGTCTATTGGAGTGAGAAGCACAACTGCACGAGGCTCTCCTTTGAGAAATTGAGAATCCGCGAAGACCTAAAGTTTTGATGAAATGTGTAATTTAGCATAGAACCTAATACTTTGTTATAATAACATATTAGCTAAGCCGTGTTTTATTATAAATATTGTACTGACTGAGTTTCTATAATTCATGATCGAGAAAAAATCATATATTAGTCACAAAATTTATAACCAAATTTCATGTTAGTTACTTAAATTTATTCTGTTATAAGATGATCATTAAAATATATATGTTTGTTTGTTTCTATTTGATCCCTCGTTCCGTTAATTTTTCTGAAGTATTTCCAGCGTAGAAACCTCTATGTTGAAGCTAAGTCATAATATCGTCTTCTACATCGGATATTCCACTAGAAAAATTTAGGTTGCCAACAGGAACGAAGTGCCAACTACAGTGACCAATTTAAAACAAATAAAATTGGATGACTAGCATGAAACCTCATCATAAGTTGATTGGTCGTTCATGCTTTTATCCCAATTTCCTGTTTTTTGGTATTATGGTGGAGCTGATAGAAAGCTTGTCCACAAAATCATATAGTTGACTGATATTTTCAGTTTCATTTGGATATTTGAACAAAATACAACCACATTTTATCGTAACATTATGTCCCGTGAATTTAAATAAAGACCTACATGTTTTTTTTTTTCCTTTTAAAAAATTGCATTCCTTCAAGAACTCCAATATTTGTTTTTATTAAAGTTCAACTACCATGGTTTATATCTTCGTTTGAGCATGCACGAAGGATTAGGAGAAAGCTTGCACAGAACAGTATATCGCTTGACGCATGACAAAAATGTGAATATAATAAAAGATTCTTACTCGCAACATACGAACGGGTATTTCTCAAATTTCGCTTGAACACATGTGAGAAATGTTGGAATCCACATAATAATGGAAAATTGAATTATTATGTTTCTAAAACGAATGTAGGGTTTTCAAACCCTTAACACATATTTAAAGAGTCAAAATGAAACCTAATAAAATCGAAATCTCAATTCAGTAGACAAATTTGAATAAAACAAAAAAAATGCAAAAATGATAAAAATACCCTTATTGACTCAAAACAAAAAAATGCTAAAATGAACCCCTAATGATAGAATTTGACCCCAAAACTTTGACGATATTGACCAAAAGCCAATCGGACAAAATTGTATACAATCGAAAAATGCTTTCAAATAGTATTTGCTCGCAAAAATCTAACACTCAAGCTGAAAGTTATGTATATTTTCATAGATCCTTCTTATTTCTCCTTTTTTCCTACCGATTTATGATTTTCTCTTTTAACAGTTTCGCATCATTGCTGACTGAATTTTTTAGTGTCACTTGGGTATTTGAGAAAAATGACACATTTCATCGCAACTTTATGTCCCATGATTTTTAATAAAAGACCTATGTGTCTTTCTTTTTTTTTCCTTCTATGAAAATTGCGTAGCTTAAAGAACACCGATATTTGTTTCAATTTAGTTCAAATTGTTGGAAACAATCAAGAACTAGACAGAATAAATAATGCAACACACTTATAAACAGAATACTATCTTTGTAATACACAGATTGATAACAAAATTA